CAAAACTAATAGTCTACGACTATTTCTTGTATAGAAATGTCATAATGTTTTTTTGGTTATTAGAAATGTCATAATTAATGCTATTTATTCTCCATCTTTTATAAATATTGATACCGTTTACAAAAAATTATGCGTATGCCCCTGCATATAGTCCATCCTAATTTGTGTTTGACAGTTGATTAATTGGTCAAACTTCTCAATCCAACAAATATAAAACAAAAATAACACTTTTTGTTTAATGAAATTTATGAGTTCCTACAACAATTGTGTAATATATGTAAATAATAATTAAGTTTATAATCAAATATTTAGGAAATTTTTTAAGAATAAAAACTACTATAGATCCGACCCTATATGGGTCCCATCAGGACATGTTCAAGGACGCTCCTCCTTGAGAAGAAGAATTTATTGAACAAAAACCGAAAATTTGAAAAGGGAGCAGAAGCGTTATTGGGCCACGTGGCACGTTACCAAAAATATGACCGTTGTAAAAGAACAAAGAGAAAAATCTTGCCCCCTCGGCCCCCCTCTATATTCAAATCTAAAAATTCAAAGAAGTCACCATTCATTCATTTCCCGTTTTTAGCCGTCCACTCTCTTCTTCTTCTTCTTCTTCTTTTTCTTCAATTTTTTCTCTCTCTTTTTCTCTAGGGTATACAGAAATGGGGATCGCAACGGAGAATCAACCACAGCAACAACACAAGGTAATTAACAACTCAGAACAAAATACAAAAAGCAAATTAATTCATAATTTTTTTTCCTTTGATTTTCTTATGTAATTTATTTGATGTGATTATTGTCCTCTTTCATTTCGAATTTAGGACTTGAATTTGAAATGTATTTGAGTTATCTAGGGTTTTACATTGGACAATAGCTTGATTTGTGCTTACATTTTTTCGTCTTAATAATTGGGGAAGATGTATAGAAATTCCCAGCTTCGGCTCCGATATAATTAGGGTTTCCTTTTAGATGATATGATAAATATTTTATGCCTTGGTGGTGGTAATTGTGAAGCGCTATTATTAAACTGCTTCTAGGATTTTAAATTTTCGCTTATATATAAGAATTTTGGGGGTGAATCTTCACACAGCTCCAAACCATAAAAAGAAGTTAAGATTTTGGACTTATGACCTGGTCCTGGATTTATACTGTTTCTGAGTTTTTGTGCGGATTTAATTCAACAGAAATTAATGGTTATAACTGCGTTTTTTTTATTCTCCATAAACTGCTCTTTTTATGGACTACAGAATTTTCAACTTCTGCAGGCGTCACCAGAGGCATCATCAGAGGCAGATAAAAAGAGGTGGATGCTTAATGATTTTGACATTGGGAAGCCTCTTGGAAGAGGAAAGTTTGGTCATGTATATCTAGCTAGGGAAAAAAGGGTCAGTGCTTTAAGAAAGATACAATGTTATTACTATCAATTGCTTCAGATTTATGCTTTGCTAGTTGGCTCCTTCAATATATTAGTTTTGCCTGCTATAACAGTGCCTGTTTATTTGGGGGTTCTATATCAGTAAATTTCTGTAGCATCTAATGCTATCATTTAATAGTGATAGTTAATGGGTGAGAGGTTGGGGATGATATCTTACGGACATGAGATAAATGATTTTTCGAACTCTATTAGACAGACATTACATTCTGCAATCACATTTCCAATACTTAAGGTTAGCTGTTTCGTGAAAACAGAGCAATCACATTGTCGCATTAAAAGTGCTGTTCAAGAGCCAGCTAAAACAGTCCCAGGTTGAGCATCAGCTTCGTCGTGAAGTTGAGATACAAAGCCACCTTCGTCATCCAAATATTTTGAGGCTTTATGGTTACTTTTATGACCAGGTAAATTAAGGTTCCTTCTGTAACCTCTTCTGCATTGCTTGTTCTCATTTTTTGTTCTTAAGATTAACTTCCAGGAGACTGATGATAGTGCTTACTATTGCAGAAACGTGTGTATTTGATCCTGGAATATGCTGCCAAGGGTGAACTCTACAAGGAGCTGCAGAAATGCAAATATTTTAGTGAACGGCGTGCTGCAACTGTTAGCTCTTGTTGATTTACAGAACTGCTTATACATTTATTATTGGACTTGTAGGATTTTCTTTTTTCAAAATCTTTAATTTGAGAATCATGAGAAATCAAGTATCCGAAGTCTAAAGAAAAATCATTATTGATGATCCAAGACCATACATATTGATAAAAAGAACTGCTATTTATTTGCTGAATAGACACGCAGATTGAAAAAACCATGACTATGCTTAACAATAAAACACTCTGAAAAGCCCACATACGGCGAAAACTTTTTGTTACCGTTGGAAAAAGAATAAGTCCCGTAAATGAGCAGATGTGAAGTTTTTCTTTCAAAATTTTCAGTTTTGGTCTCATTCTAAATAGCCTTGAGTGTGAGCAGATTTATTTATTTTCAACATTTAATTACATTCATGCCCTCACCATCCTAACTACTTTTGAACTGACCAACTGACCATAAATTTTCTTATTTTTCTTTATCTTGGGTCTTGGAGCAGTATGTTGCATCGTTAGCCCGAGCCCTAATATACTGTCATGGGAAGCACGTAATACACAGAGATATCAAGCCGGAGAATCTTTTGGTTGGTGCACAGGTATATATTTGGCAATAACAATTTATAGTGTGCATTGCAATTATAAAATGATGGAGCTTGAAATAGTTTTTTAAATGTTTCTGCTTTTAGGGTGAACTCAAAATTGCAGACTTTGGGTGGTCAGTGCATACCTTTAATCGGAGGCGGACTATGTGTGGCACTCTAGACTATTTGCCACCAGAGATGGGTATGTGTGTTATATGAGATATACATTGTGTGTTCATCGAAAGCGGTCTATGTGTGGCACCCTAGACTATGTGTCATGTGCAAGAAGTTACAAAAGCATGGTTCATGTTATACGAGATATGTTGGAAGTTTTATTAGCATCTTTTTTTCTTCTTCTTTTTTCAAAAAAAACTTCTTCTATTTTACGTTTCTGTTTCATGGCATGTATGAGAATATAGCTTAACAAATCTTTTGACTGCTTTTACATGTTTTATGATACGTTGGTTGCTGAACTTGCAGTGGAAAGTGTGGAGCATGACGCAAGTGTGGATATTTGGAGCCTGGGTATCCTCTGCTTTGAGTTTCTGTATGGGATGCCTCCATTTGAAGCAAAGGAACACTCAGACACATATAGAAGGTGCGCTTTTCTCCCAAACGTAAACTAAGAGCCCGTTTGGACATAAGAAATTTTTTACTTTTTTCGAAATTTTTTCACTTTTTTTTGACATTTGGCCATAAATTTTTCAATTTTCGCTTGAAGATGCATTTTGAAATTTTTCGAAAATTTGAAAAACTCCAAAAAACTGTTTTTCAAAATTTTTACTCAGATCACTCACAAAACTTCAAAAACAACCCAAAATTATATTCATGTCCAAACACAACTCTAATTTTCAAATACCATTTTCACTTGAAATTTTTTCACTTTTTTTGGGAATTTTACAATTCTTATGTCCAAACACCCTCAAAACGTTTCATGAGAAACTTAAATAGGAAAGCACAAAAAAGGAAGAAGACTTTAGAAGAAATAGTACAATTTATGCACAAGTCTTCCTTTTAGAAAAATAGTGAATTCTTTCATAAAATGCTACAACTTTCAAATTGTCAATTGTGCATGGATGAGTATGAAATGGCAGAAGAAATTATTACACATACAATGAACACAAGCAGCACAATTTTCAAACCTTCGGTCATATGCTAAATCTTGTTATGGAGAGTTTGAAATGGCAAAACAACTTTTATGAATATTACCAGCGTGTAACACTAGTAGGTATATTGATAAGGTTTTCCTATGGATGTGTACAGGATTGTGCAAGTGGATCTCAAATTTCCTGCCAAACCAATTGTCTCATCAGCTGCCAAGGACCTCATTAGTCAGGTTTTTCTCTAATCCATTTGAGATGCTTTGAAATACTGCAGCATGTAATCTCGGGCCTGACTTGTTCTTTATAATTTATTATGTTTGTGGGATATAGATGCTTGTAAAGGATTCTTCTCAGCGTCTGCCCCTGAAAAAGGTCCTGGAGCATCCCTGGATTGTGCAGAATGCAGATCCTTCAGGTGTTTATAAGGGCTGATGAAGACATCACCAATGACTCTCACAATCTTTGTGGCGGACTAAATTAATCTATGTGATCTTAAAACTGTGACGTAAAATAACCACACCCACCATGTAAAACTGTGATCCCCCTTGCATTGCCTGGAAATGAAAGGGGTTTCTTTACAAAAGATAGTCATTTTTTGCATTCTTTTCTCAATGTTGTATGTAATCGTAATCTCTTTGTTGTTACTCGGATCTTGTCCTGCACTCTGATCTTGCTAGTGGCTAGACAACATTCTCTTGACTCCTGTAGTCCCGTTTGAACTCTTACCTACTCCTATTAACTGAAGCACCAATCCAATTAGAATGCAGCGGTAATTTTACTTCCTTTTAACCAACTTTGCCTCACAAAGCTATATGGAGTGAAACTGATTTCCTTCCAAAAGAACATGGGTAGGTTATTATTTGCATTATCGGCCATTCTTGTAAATAGTTTTTTTTTGCAAATATTTGGGTGGGGGTAATGTGCATTTCCTAATCACTAAGGCTTAGCGCTCTTTTCATTTCAGAATTACTTTATCATTTGCATAAATGAATAGATAATTTTCCCTAATCAAAGTTTATTTAAATTAAAATGCAATCAAAGTCTAGCTTAGATGTACAATCTAGTAAGATAATTCAATTGTGTTGTCTGGGAGTCAAACCAGTCTTTTGATACTTCAAATGAGGAGAAGTTTGGATTTTGCAATGATACGTTGAAAAGAATTTAGTTTGGCATGTGGTTTTAGACCTTTTCCTCATATCGGAGCATTTAAACGTTCAAACATGGGAAGGGTCCAAAGACTTGCCCTATCCAGTACCCGGCAATTTCTCAGCATGAATAAATTTAGGTGAACTCAAGATGCAACTTTGAAATTCTTGAATCAGTAGTTGATATTTCTGTAGGTACAGAAACTGAGACATACACAGCAGCATTTTTCAAGTGTAAAATGCAGAGAGGAGAAAACCAAAAAATTGGGAAGCAACACCTCCACAACATACAAATAAATATGGTTCATAAATCATGAATACAACGAAGCTTTGGCGCAACTTCACTAGATACAACAAAACCTTCAATATACATCTGTTACTGCCCACAGCTGAGGCACGGTAACAGATCCAAAACCTTCAAATAAGTTCCTACAACGACCCGATTAATCTGACATTATGGTAAGCATTTGCAGATTCAAAGGTAGTAGAAATAGCAACTAGAGTGAGTACTGGTGAGAAAAGTTACTGCTCTAGTGTTATAGGATGCTTTTATTTCATGCCATGCTAGTGTTTTGTTTACCTGAAGTCTCACTGTCATTATTATCCCCATCTAGTAACTGAGTTGGTGGGTGCTGCCCCTTTTGCACTTCAACAATGTCTTTTGTGCTCAAGAAGCTTGGCTGATTGGTCGATGAAAGAAGCCGTGCCCACATCCTGTCAGTTATGACCACCTTATTTTGCTTCTCAGTAATGCGCTGCACAGCGAAGATGCTGGTTAAGCTTGTGAAAATGGTGAGTGAAATGGCTTTGAAAGCCGAATCAAAATAAAACGAGTGCTCAAGACATAATTTTTTGATAAGGTAAGGCCCACGACATAATTGATTGAATGGCTTTTGGTTCCCCTTTCTGCCACCAAGTCACACTAAAATGATCCGAATAGAGCATAATATTGCCAGTGACAAAACCAGCCTTTACATAACATGCACACAGCTGTTGCGGATATCAACTATGCCAAGAAACTAGATCCGAGATGCTTTGTCATATGGAGTCACCCCAAGAGCAAGGTGGAGAGTTCTTGGAGGGAGGGAGCCGGGGGTATATCGGAAACAGCCTCTCTACCCCAGGATAGGAGTAAGGTCTGCGTACACACTACCCTCCCCAGACCCCACTAGTGGGATTATACTGGGTTGTTGTTGTTGTTGTTGTTGTTGTTGTTGTATGCTTTGTCATATGGGAGAGGTCAGTGCACCAGAACCATGAATACAGAACAATGGGTTGCTGATACCAATCTTAAAGAAGGTGCAAGTGCATCTTACTAAACAGTAGAGCATACTTTCCGGAGACTGTTTAACATACTCATTGAAAGGCAGCAAAAAATCTCCTCTGACGTTATGAAAATTCAAGAAAAACTAAACTGGATTTTAGACTCCAAATGGACGATGCCAGCGTTGGAAAAGTGATTATAGCAAGGAAATCAAACTTTTAAGAACATGAGTTGTTGCATCCTCAAGCTAAACCTAAACCCTAAAAGCAGTTATTGAACCGGAGGCTGTTTAACTTAAAGCAGCTAGGAACTAAGATTTATGCCTAGTGTGTGATAACTCACAGCCAAGTCCCAATCAGATTCCAATTGCCACAGGGACGGAAGTTGTCGATACCTTGGGGTTAATCAAGAAGCAGCGGAGATACAACTAGAAAGATCAACAACCAAACGTAGATACTTACATTGAATGGAATATATGTTTGACGACCATTGACAACCCCCGAGGTAAAGCCTGTATACCCTGCCATAGCTCCATGAACACAACTTTGAGCAAGAATCGTGCAATATACATTGTCAGATGCATTACTCGGAACAGCACGAATCATGTAAGTTGGGTCTGCATAACAATGTGATTAGCTGGTAAGCATCATAAGTTTTCCAAACTAAATCAGCCCTTCAGATGGTTGAAATTTTCTCACCTATATATTTAAGAGTAATGGGTATCCTAAGTTTTTTTTCAAAATGATCCTGCAAGAAGTAAAGAAATGGTGAGTAGAATGCTAATACATAATACTACCTAATATAAATAATTTCAGTCACAATTTCCCCATAGACTGCAAGAAAATACGAAAAGAAAAGTAGGATCAAGAACAATTTTCCATGTTGTTGGATCATAGCAATCTTAACAAAGGATAAGCGGCAATCTAAAACTCATGTGCTGCAGGGTTCTTTCAGTAAGAAGTTCAACAAAATATCATGACTGTTAGATAGTCGGTGTTCAAAAGAAGATTTAGGCGACCAGCCTCTGTACAAAATATATAATAACATACCATTCCTCAAAGCGATAGATAGACAACAATGCATTCAAAAACAAAAATAAAAAAACATATAAATATAGAATTATAATGCCTCACGTTTATTTCTTATGTTGTTCTATATGGTGTTTGCTTTATAAGATGCAAACCACTACTTGGTGGTTACATGCAGGGGCGAAGCTACATTTAAGGGTGGTTAGTTGACCACTCTTCGTCAAAAAATTACATTGTATATATAGGTAAAATATTAGAATTTAGAGGTATATAACATATATTGAACACCCTTTGTCAGGGAATTTTTTTCACTTCTTTCTAGTTTGAACTTAGAGAAATTCCTGGCTTCGCCACTAGTTACATGAATTTATTTGGTGAGTGTAGTTAAAAAGTACAAGTTCTTATTAGAGGCACATGAGCATTTGTGAATATCTGGTAATCATTCAGTGAATAATTCTGTCAAACAAATTCTTCCTCGTTTCCTTATCTTTTTTAGGAAGATATGCAGCTTATTTTCTGGAAAACATGTATAGTATGAACTTCAGTACATCTTCATCGACTGGAGCGGATGTAATTTTCTAAAACAGATTATATTAGCTCTCACAAACCCAAAAATGCGCATACTCAAGTAGAGACGAGCACACTTAATCACCTAAAGAGAGAGAGAAAGCAAGATCAATCAGTTCTGCATTATGTATGACTATAAGATTAGGGACAACTCTGTCTATAATGACCATTACCCTGATTTTCTGGGATACCCACAAACCAACATCTTGCAGAAGCTTGTTTCCTGAAGCATCTTGTTCGCTTCTAGCATGGGAATTTTCTTCTGCAAGAAGTTCCTGTCCAGCTCCTTCAGCTATCACAATAACCATGTGCCCATCTTCTCTGAGCCTTTTCTTAACGAATTCGAAGAGACCACCACTTCCTTCAAGATAGAAGGGTGACTCTGGAATCAAACAGCAATCAACATCTCTGCTCGCCAAAGTGGCATACATTGCAATGAATCCTGCACCAATTTTCCAGCAAATTGAACTGAAATCAAGACTTCTGTTGTTTGTTGAAAAGTACAATAATATATAGACTTTGGAAGCATGGAGAAGTTTGGGCAGTTAAGCATTGAGAATATGACTTGAAAAAAAAGAAGAAGCAATTTGTGGTCTCAAGGATGTGCTTACCTTTATTTATGTTTTCCAAGAAAATGTTGGACATATAGAAACTCACTTTAGTAATTTGTTATCAATAACAGCTATAGCCTATCAAGTGATGAGTTTTGCAGCTAACCATGCAGAGAAGAGCTTATTATTCAACAGCAAAATGAACCAACAATGAAAGTGCCTGATAAGATTTGTAGTGAAGATGGGCATAGAACAGTCTTTACGTGAACTTGGTAAGAGAAATTCTATACTGGGCAATTTGCTATGCATCGAAAGTTTTTCAAGACTTTGTAAAAGCATGTTACCACTATAGCGGCCCATTAGCTTCACCACACCGATACCGTTCTCAGCACTTTGAGCTTCAACATGCGCTGCATTGATGGCACGTTGAGCCTCCTCTACGGCAGTATCAAAGCCAAATGACTTGTCGATGACCTGATAAGAGAACAAACTAGTTTTCACATAAGAGCATTCCAAACTGAAGAGCACTATTAGCTACTAGTTGCTTAAGTCAAATGGGAGGGGAAACTACCAAAATGAGATCTCCGGATATTACACTGTACTTTTACTATTCAGTAAAATTTATGCTTTGCACTTTGCAAGAAACTTTGGAATTACTCCTTTAGGTTGCTAAATTGTTTATCACACCAGAACAAAATATAATCAATTATAATAAGAGGAAATGAGAAATACTGGAATATCATTGTCAATTGTCTTTGGTATCCCAGCAACAACAACTTTGAGACCACGCCGCCTAATTTCCTGCAAAAATGGAGTAGGATTATACTAAGAATGCTCGCCAGAACCAGTACTAAGGTATATTCAAACATGTTGAATCTCTGTGCAGATGATGAAGCTGAATGCAATAATGTTGACATGGTACGACAGGCTTGGAACAAGATATTTGATTCAACAGTTGTAGAGTGATACAGAATCCCCTCAATAGACTAATTTGAAAGAATAGATTGTTAAGCTTTCAGCAAAAATGTAACTATATTGCCCTCAAGTTGAAAATTAACTCATGTTATCGGGTGGGTAAGTACCTGGCCTCTTAATTTGCAGAACCTAACATACCTCATAAATGACAGCGGCTCCTTTTTGAGTCCCATCGCCACCAATTATATAGACCTGAACAAATAAGATGCTCATTATATCAAGTGGAAGCTTTTGTGCAGGACAGTCGTCATCATAATATTTTTGCAATGAAATCAAAGATGCCTCAGACGAAGTCTGACTAGCAAATTGCAAAAATATAACAATGGATATTTCTAAAAGTCATTAATGTTGTTGTAACAGTAAAATTTATCAATAAGAATCTTTTCCTCTTTCCTTTTTATAGAAAACATACTACTCAACTTCTTTTTCAATTAAAGAAGATGCTTGTCTCCATGATACCACTTTCGTCAATTACACAAAGCTTTTTCTTGTGACCAATATATTAACTTTCTTCCTAAATAAGTTACTTTTGCAGATATTAGTAAATCCACCTCAAAGAGAGGAAGGGACCTAAAGAAGATAAGGTACTCCAAGATTTGACAGCAGACATATATTTGGACAAATTTTTGTAGTTGAGTACCTGATTTATTCCATGATCCTGTATGCTGTCAACTATCTTTGTGGTATCATGGCCTCCTCGTGACGTCCCAAGGATTGTACCACCACGTTTATGAATATCATCTACAAGCTTTGGTGTCAAATTGATAGTATTTTTTGCGTAGAAACCTCTGTAGCCTCCCTATGAAGGAAAAAATGTACTGTTAGCTGCAGACAAAACAGCTTATCAAGCATAAGGAAGTTGAAATCAGCCAACTCACTTCTATTCCAAGGACTTTATCTACACCATACATATAGTCAAGGCTATGTACAATTTCTCTGATCACTGTGTTTAGACCAGGGCACAAACCACCACATGTAACAATACAAGCACGAACATCATCTGAACTGAAATAAACCTGAGATACATTGAAGCTTTCTTCTGAGTGAAAGATTGCATATCAATAGTTCTGCTGGTAAATGGCAACAGATTGCATATTTCCATCCTTGAAGAAAGTAGACATACCTTCTGACGGGGACCAGCACGCCGAAAATGTAGTCCTCGTGGACTGTCCTTATGAACAACAATCTACAAAGTGATCAAACAAATTCATAACAATTATGACAAGGAAAGAGCAGGGATTGATGAGCAAAGGAGCTCTCTCTAACAAAAATGTTTCCCTATTGGGGTAAATGGAAAGAGAAGCCGACAAGGAATATAATGTAAAATAAAGGGCTGATTGAATATCTTTGTCCACAAAAGACAACTAAAAAAAGAAGAAGCTCAACACACTTTTTTGCTCTTTCACTGCAATGGTGCAGGAGAATGGAAACTACTGCAAGACTGAAGAAATGATTCAGGATGCAAAGTTCACTTTGGACTCTCTATAGACACTCTAAGGAGTCAGCCACGTCTTCCTTTTCAGTAGCTTCTCTACCATATTTGCAATTAGTTCTTACTCTGTTTCACATGTACTTCAGTTTTTTGATCCTTTAAGGAAGACACTTTTATTATAGAGTACGTTTTTTGAGACATCATTCCTAGCAGTGGAATGAAAGAAGTGTCCGTAGAATCTTGAGAAGTGCTAAATCGACATAATTTGGGCTCTGTTGATCTCCAAAACCAACATCAGACAATGATGGTCCTCTACTCTTGCTTTCCAGATAGTTATATATAGGTCATTTGTATGACTAGCATCCCACTTTGCAGAATCACTAAGTCAATTTTCGCAGATCGATGTAACTATCTATTATCTGTCATCCGTTTTACCATTTCATTAACCATTGAAAAGGAAAGAAGTAAGGACATATTTATGAAAGATATTTATATATATCGTCAGAACAAGTTAAAAGAAGATTGCACCTTTTGAGGAACTGTATCATCCATGTCGACAAAGTACTGCCTGAAATCATGAAGACAGTTCATAACTTGTCAAGGGTCAATGCGTAATAACTGCCATATTGGCCTAATAGCATAAATACAAGAAAAGTTGATAATAGACTCACTTCACAACTGAGTATGCTGGATTAGATTGCAATGGGTTATCATAAGTCTGTCATCAAGCAATGGAATGAAGAATAAAGTCGAGTTAGTAGATACGCCAACATCTAGAGCAGAAAACATACATAATTGAGTATAAAGGCAACAACAACAACAACAACAACAACAACAACAACAACAACAACAACAAACCCAGTGTAATCCCACAAGTGGGGTCTTGGGAGGTTAGTGTGTATGCAGAACTAACCCCTACCTTGTGGAGGTAGAGAGTCTGTTTCCGATAGACCCTAGACCCTGGCTCAGGAAAAGCATAGTCATAGGGTTGAGCATAAATGCAGATACACATTTTAAATAGTTGAAATCAAGCTTTTTGTGTCTAAAAGATACAAATTTTATTTTCTGAGTGAAAAAGTGAAGACAACTCTTGCAAAAAGTAGAAGTGAATCACTCCAACAAAAAAAATATGAACGAAACAAAATGAGAGTATAGTAAGTATATGGACTCCGTATTAGAATCAACTTCAGAGAGAGAAGAAAGCAAACAAATAGTAGTGACAACATTAAAAAAAATGTTTCCACCTAGAAAAAGCTATGACCAGGGTGATAACAACGCTCATTTAAAGAGCTCTTATGTAAGAGAAAGCCGGAACCTCAACCATGAAGAGAAAGTGTATGTATAAGAAAAAGAGAAAATGCATTGTTTGTGTGATCTGAAAGAAACTTAAAGACAGTCTGAAATCTCAATTTCCTGCTCAATGTAGAACGTGAGAAGTTCATAGTAAAGTCTCAAATGGAATAAACTATAACTACTTGCTAAACATGCATGATGCTAGTGTGCCACAAAGCATAATAACTCAGGGTATTAAAATATTTCCACATGAGCTAGAGTTAACATCCTTTTTCTTCATGAGTCATTTTGTGTTGTTGAGGAACTTATTAGTATATTCCCCAACAGCTAATGCCTATTCCCTCAATGTCTCTCTCACTCTATCTCTCCATCTCAATCAAGATAAATAAATGTGGAATTTCTTTAGAAAAATGCTCCAGGTGGATGTCCACCCCTTTATATTCAAGAGCGCAAATCATCTGTACGATGTTAGATATTCCAATAATTAGATATCACTGAGTTGATACAAATATGATTTCAATGATCCCATGGTTTGCAATTATCTACAAACAGATTTGGATCTCGGAACTTTTGGACATGAATGTAAGTTCATATATCAAATCGTTCCACTCCAAGAACTCACTAGAATACAACAACGCGTGATGCATGTTCAAGCAACATCTCTTATTCTCTTATTCAAATTTAGAATTTCCAACAACACCTTGCTTTACAGTATATCCTCCAAACCATGTATATGGAAATGCCGCGAAAACGTTCTTTAACATAAATGTAAGTTCATAGATCAATTCACTCTTCATCAAGTCAGGATGTCCTTGAATAAATCAAGAAATGTAACAGCTCCTTATCTTCATGGAGTCAACTTCCAAAGGACAAAAATGATTATCTCGATTTTCACCTTCGTTTTATATAACTTTAACCTTATATCAGTTTACCCCCTACTAATTGAGAAGAGAAATTCTCTCTACATATTTTAACGCATAGCCTCATCTAACTTTCTTGTCAAAATATTGGAATAGTAAAAATCCAGAAACTGCCTTTGCTCAGTAAACTGTCTAGAGGACATGTGTTCCTCATGCCAACTATACTTTTGTTGCTAAAGCTCCACACACACACAAAAAAAAAAAAAAAA